AATTCATGAGGTATCTGTTATTGGCTTTACTAACTAAGTAATACTATATATTGTCTATAAATTGTATAAGCTGTTGATTACCTAAAATAAATAAAATAAAATAAAATAAAGTCTTTTTCGATCTGATTAGTAAACTAGTGACGTATACTAACAAATACAGTATGCAAATTTCTCGTTAGCGGGTCGTTTTAGCAAACATTCACCGTTCTCATTGATATCGAGTCAGATACAATATCGCATTTCACTAAATAGTGGCGCTGATTGTTGGCGGTGGAGCACGCGATCGTTCATTAAATCCTGCCGCCGGTACATTCATTAGTTAATTTAGCCACGTTATCGTCCGCGTGTTCTATATTAGATTCGAATGTATTGGTATTCAGTTTGTCTGCAAATTCAGTAAGACGACAATTCTAGATGTTCATAATAGTATCAAAAATTCTATCATTTTTAATATATATGGGACCACGATTTATGACCACGAGATGACTAGCTTTTGCCCTCGGCTTCGCTCGCGTTAATTTATCCCCTTAGGGAGTGGAATTTATCAAAATCCTTTCTTAAGGGATTCCTACGTCATAGTAGCTTTATACATGCAAAGTCTCAGCCCGATCGGTTTAAAATTGACAAAGTTTCATACAAACTTTCATCACCTATTTTAACCCCTTAGAGATTTAAACAAAATCCTTTCTTAGCGGATGCCTACGTCATAACATCTACCTGCATGCCAAATTTCAGCTCGATCCGACCAGTGGTTTGGGTTGTGCGTTGATAGATCACTACGTCAGTCACCTTTGAGTTATATATATTTAGATTGGATGATCTAACAAGGCTATAGCAGCCTACTTATTTTGGTTTTTAGAGGTTTAGTTGTTTTTCTAGAGGTTGAGTGGCTCTTCTAATTATATAACTTTTTCTGTCTGTCGATCTTACTGTAGTTTACTTTATGAATAAATTAGAGTATTTACCTATAGTACCTCGGTGGTCTAGCGGTCTAGCACACCGCTTTACGTCCGATGGTCGCGGGTTCGATTCCTCGCACGGCACAATTATTCGTATTCATTGTTTGTTTGTGTCGGTCTGTTTGTATTCTATGTATAATATGTATGTATTTACAAAAAAAAAATATTTATCAGTAAAAATATTTAGTAACACAAGATTTAGCTAGCTTAACTTGGGTCTAGATGGCGCTGTGTGATTTGTCCTGAGATTATTATTATATCTTTCGGTACTCTGGTCAAAACATTGTTTGTCTAACAAATCTTACCATTGCTTTATTTACCTAATAAATAGTCAAAACAGATCATAAGATCTGAAATAAGAATAGGTTAAGTAAATGGATAGTAGGTTAAGAACAATTAATATAACCGAAATCATTCCTAATTAGCGTTATAATGAAATAATTCGAATTTGCAACAGGGCGTCCGCCATTACAATGCCGCAAGCCCCCGCTTTGTCGCATTCGGGTCCTTTGACAAAGTTCTATTAGCGTAAAGTCTTTATCTTTTTGCTGTGACTTTTGCAAATTAAGCTCATTAAAGTGAGCGGGCCCGTACCAAGACGGTCGCATTCTTCGACAAGTTGGTGTTGTTGGTGGTGGTTGGGCGCAGAAAACAAATTCCTATTGTTTCCCAGAGTTTATTTGAAAACAGAGTTGTATGCGACTCTGACCTTTAATTTGTTGATTATGATCTTGGATTTATTTGGCTAAAACAGACATTGTATAAAAATATAGATACTACTACTAGCTACTCTAGCCCCGGCTTCATACAGATGTACATGTATTATATTTATAAACCTTACTCTTGTATCAGTCTATATATTAAAAAAATCCCCTTCAAAATTTGTTGCGTATTTGTATCAGTTATCTAATACTCATAACACATGCTTTAGCTAGCTTGACTTGCGTCTAGATGGCGCTGTGTGAATTGTCCTGAGATTATTATTATTATATATATATAAACCTTCCTCTTGAATCAATCTATCTATTAAAAAAACCGCTTCAAAATCCTTTGCGTAGTTTTAAAGATTTAAGTATACATAGGGATGGACAGACAGCGAAAGCGACTTTGTCTTATACTATGCAATGAAGTTTTCGTAATTTAAACATATATTGTTACCATTAATACATCCAACGGGGAAAGGGGATTTTTTTTTATACTACTATGGTGGCAAGCAAGCATACGGCCCATCTGATGGTAAATGGTTACCGTAGCCTATGGACGCTTGAAGCACCAGGGGTGTCACGTGCGCGTTGCCGATCCTTAAGAAACCTTAATATACCCTTCTTAAAAAACCCCATGCTGTAGTTTCGTGAGAAAACCTCGGCAGGAAGTTCATTCCACAATCTAAATGCACGCGGGAGGAAGCTCCTCTGAAACCGCACTGTCCGAGACCCCTTAGGTTCCAGCGTGTGAGAATGAATTCCCTGTCGATGGCGAGCGGTGCGATGGTGAAAAGTGGCCGTAGGTATTATATCGAACAATTCTTCAGAACACAGTCCGTTGTATAATCGGTAGAACACACAAAGCGAAGCGAAGTCTCGCCTCGAACAAAGTGGCTCGATACCGTCAGAGAGATTGGGATCATCGACAATTCTCATAGCACGTCTCTGAACCGAGTCTAAAGGACCGAGCTGGTATCCAGGTGCTCCTGCCCAAAGATGAGAGCAGTACTCCATGTGCGGCCGAACTTGAGACTTATATAAGAGGAGTCTCTGGTCCGCAGTGAAGTATCGCTTCGCTCTATTGAGCACACAGAGTTTTTTGGACGTCAGCTTAACCTTTTCTTCGGATTGTTAGTAATGTGGACTGATGACCTTATTGCTAGCAATGTACCATGTCAGGTTGACCTCCACGCGGTCCCTGGAAACCATCGTGATAAATTTTTGGTGAATTTGTCACGATGGGCTAACTGACCTGACCTCATGCTCATCTTATCATCTACTAGTGCCCCGCCAGCGTAAACCGATAGCGCAGGCGAGTGCATCACTCCATTATCATACATAAAAAAAATGCATCCATCATACTCTGCTAGAACATAGATAGACTCTTATAAGCGTCTTAAATCAACGATTTGTATTTATTATTTATTTATTATTATTATGTTTGTTATATTCATATAAGCAAAGCTCTTAAGTCTTAGAATACTAATTTGGGCCTTCCACCGGAATCCTGAGTGTTTTCCAAATCCCCTGTCGTCATTTTGATGTACAGATTCATTGTTTTCATTCATTCATTCATCAGATATTGCCCCTGACATTACTGCTTATAAACTTTTTTTTCCGGTTGTTACAAGTTCTTCAAGAATTAAAAACTTTTAGATTGCCTATCGGATAACTAGTCTATTTGTTATTTTGACCTTTTACTTGAAATGTAAAGTATGATATTATGATTAGTATGAAATATCATCAAAAATATTACAAACATCAAAATAATTTATTAAATGGCCATTTAAAATATTTTCCATTCATTTGAAATAACGACATTTTAAGTAGAATTTTTTCCATTCACAAATCACTTGACATCGAAAGAGACGTTTTAAAGAGAACGCATCGTACGAATAAATAGAACTGACATGGCGACTGACTATGGGTATAATATTAATTTAATTTAATGACGTAGTGGAGTAACTTGAAACAGTCATGCTCGCTATAAAGTTCAAACTTGTAGCGGCATGGTGGGCCGTGTCAATATGTTCCCTCTGATATGGTTGAGTGCAATGATGGCTGGCTCATCCGTCATACTCGTGAACGGGTGCTGCTTGTGGTGACTGGTCTGTTCTAGTTACGAATACTGATTAGACTATTTGCTTATTGCAATTGCATACGGTTACTCTAATCTCCCAAATTTGAATTTAAAAATGAATCTGTATTATTGCAAACATGTACAACATTTATTTGAAAAGAATACGAGCTGAGTTTCTTTCAGTTCTTCTCATGTCGAAAGCATTCCGACCTGTCGGTAGATTTGGCATATCATAGGAGTCTGTAATAGAGCAACATGAATAAAGATATTTTGAATTTGAATTTGAATTTTTAATTAAATTAGCACCTCTACTGGTTTCGACTCAGTGAAACGAAACCTTATAAAAGAAAGGCGGGTGGTAAAAAAACCAAATGTTTTTCCCGCCACGAGATTATAAAACTTGTTTACGAGTTCTTGGCGGCTGAGATCCGTATAAAACGGCATTTCGCATAAACATATGTGTTTACGCCGAAACGTAACATTATTTCATTTTTACCTATACTTTCCTTACGCAGCGATAGTTCGATCAATACTCTATTTCACTCACACGCAGCCGCGCATCTCGTTCATTCATTTTTAACTACCAATATAATAGAAACATAAGCGCGCCTTTTAATTTGCATATCTGTCTCACTCACGCATACTCATCCCATGTATGTCCTTCCTTGTCCTACTTCCTGAAACCATGCAACATGTCAAAGGACAAGAAGAAATAGAAAGACGACTTCCGCCCAGTTAGTTCAAGTTCAAGTTCACCGCCGGCCGCCATCGCTAACGCTGCTCAATTTGCTATCCGCCTGTACAAAACTATTATACAATAAACGCATAAAGTGAAAATAAATCCCTAATGTGATGTGTCTGTTAATCAAGAAGTTTTAAGAAAAACATTATAAAAATATTAGTCTTGGTGAATAGAAAATAGAACCAGCGCCGAGAATCATCGGGAGAAGTCGAAGAAAGAATTCACCGGTGAGCTCCTTTTGTCCTTTCTACCTATTCACTCCAAGTCCTGGTCCTTCGAGCCGGATTCCCTTTCTATCTACTTCATCATTCATTCATTATCGCTATTTACTTTATTTTCAAGTCATTTATAACGCAACCGCATTTAACTTATAACGGTCAATTTTTCTATTGCGCAATTCACAAGATCGCCATTTTGTTTCGCATTCACGCGCCGCACGCCATTTTTTTATAATATTTAATTCGCAATTTTACTCCTATCTATAATACTTATTTATCACTTTAATTACTTTAACAATGTCGAAATTTAAAGACGCAGTTGCAAGTATTAGTAAAGATGAGGATCACCACGTAACGCTCCTTGAAGCAAAGAAAAATTCTTTGTTTAGCATCATTCAACATATTTATGATCTCAGTCTAAAGGTTTCCAATGAGAATTATAAGTTGCAATTTTTAACTCGCGTTCATTCGTTAGACAAGCTTCGTTCAGATTTTATAGAAACTTTAGATTCGTTACTGGAGGCTCGCTTAATTATAGACAAGACGGCAATACCGAACTACACGCCGCTTTCGTCATTCGATGAGTTATATTGTCATATTAAACAAGTGGAAAATTCTATAAAAAATCTTAGACAGGATAATAAAGAATTAGATTTATTAAGTCGAAAGTTGCCCCCTCTAAACCTTTTAAAGTACGACGGTTCGAATCCGAGTAAGTGGATTAGCTTCTACGAAAACTTTAAAACATTAATTCACGATAATAAAAATTTACATGACGCCGAAAAAGTTCAGTACTTGATTGGTTGTTTGGCTGGTAAAGCTCTTAATGTCTGTTCAGGTATTCAACCCACCGCCGATAATTACTCGCTATTATGGAACGCATTAGTAGAAAAATATCAGGATGTACGCATACAAGCATCACAATACGTCGATCAGATGTTACAATTTAAAAGTAATCAAACTCTGGATACTTTTATTGAGCAGTTCTGTTCAGCTGAATCTGCGCTTAGGCAGTTGAAAATAGACAATCTATCTGACTATCTATTTTTACATACCGCTCTTACTAAACTCGATAAAAATATTGTAAACTTATTCGAACAAACTTATAAAGATAAAAATATACCTAACTTTTCAGATTTAACGCAATTTGTAAAAGAACAGTGTAAAATACAAACATTACGCAATTCTCACTCTAATTCTACTAATTATAAATCGCAAATTCAGAATAAATCAAATTATTCGTCAGATAATAAAAAAGTAACGCACACTAACGCATTTCTTGTAAACACGGACGCATCACCTTATAATGCACCACCGCAACAGATATATAGGCCAAAGGTCAACGCACCCTCGTTCGAACTCGCTCGCATACAGCCGCGTCAACTCTCATGCGCATTTTGTAATTCGCCCTATCCTCACGCTTTATTTAAATGTGATTATTTTATTAATCAATCCGTACACGACCGCATTACTATTATTAAGAAAAATAATTTATGTGCTAATTGCTTAGGTTTTCATAATATAAACGCCTGTAAATCTATAAATCGGTGTTATACATGTGGTTATAAACACCACTCGCTTTTGCATATAGATTCCAACATACGTTCACGCTATGACACAGCGCGTCCCACCCCGCAACCCGACCGAAGCCGCGTCGCTACAGTACAATCGGCTACGCCCGCCCCTCGTAGTACTCCGTCGAACGCACAGGCTACGAGTGGGAATTCAAATAATATAACGCTGTCGGTAACTACTCCCGCGCAGAATAAGTTAAACAATACGACTATTCTTTTACCTACCGCTGCTGTTCACGTATACAATCAGAATAAGCGTTCGAATGTACGTTTATTTCTTGATTCGGGTTCTATGAGTAATTTTATTACCAAAACATGTTGTAATCGATTAAACTTAAATATTACACCGTCTAATTCTACCATTAGGGGAATAGGAAAAACAGAGAGTACGTCTTATGGGTACACAACGTTTAAAATTCACTCACGCTACGACGCCCGCTGTTCGTATACAATAACTGCACGAGTCATAGACGTTATAACTGATTATTTACCTAATGTTCGCGTCGATGTATCGCAATTAGAACACTTGCAATCTTTACCGCTCGCTGATGATGATTTCTACTCACCTGGCAGTGTTGACTGTCTTGTGGGCAATGAGTTGTTCCCTATACTGCTTGGTAGTGATAAAGTGACATCACCTACTTCATCAGTTATTGGTTTAGAGACTACACTCGGTTATATAGTCATGGGAAAGGCTGACTGCGACTCTCCTTCTCAGAATAGTACGCTTTCAAATAATGACAAATTATTTTTCTGTCAATCCGACCCGCTTCCGCTTGATACTCTTACACAACGCTTCTGGGAGTTAGAAAGTGTTCCCTCTAAAACGCATATGAGTAAAGACGACGAGATTTGTGAAAACAATTTTAAATCGACTTATTCTCGAGATAATAAAGGTCAATATACCGTTCACTTACCATTTAAATTACCGCCTTCGAAATTAGGAAATTCATACGCTATTGCAAAACGTCAGTATTTACAATTGGAAAAGAAATTAGATTCACAGCCCGATCTACGTAAAGATTATAACTCCACAATTCAAGATTATATTGATAAAGGGTATTTAAGTATAGTAAAAAATCCTACATACGACTCTGAACATTATTACATTCCGCACAGAGCTGTTTATCGCCCTGATAAACAGACATCAAAAACACGCATAGTCCTCAACGCTGGTTGTAAGACCACGTCCGGATTATCACTGAACGACATACTTTATACAGGTTGTAATTTACAAACTAATATTTTTGATTTGTTGATGAATTTACGCATGTTTGCTATTGGTGTAACGGCTGACATAGAACGAATGTATTTCTGTATTAAACTCACGTTTGATCATCAACCATTTCAACGCATACTTTTTAGATTCAATACTGAAACTAATATACAAACTTATGAATTTAACAGAGTCTCATTCGGAGTCTCTAGTTCTCCCTTTCTCGCGATGAGGGTTGTGAGACAACTGGCTTCAGATAGTCGCACTGAATATCCTCTCGCCGCCCACGAGGCTGATAATCACATGTATATGGATGATTATGTATCGTCATTAGATGGTCTAGATGCAGCCGAAAAAACATATCAAGAGATGATTAATATGTTTTCTTCGGGTGGATTTAAATTAGTAAAATGGGTGTCCAACTGTAAGGAATTTATGACTAAAGTAGACAATTCGAATAAAAATCCGCAATTTGTAACATTTGACTGTGACTCAAACGCAAATACAAAAATTATAGGTATGCAATGGAATCCTAAAGAGGATAATTTTAAATATAAAATAAGTACAGATTCATCACAATGTACCAAACGCACTATTCTCTCTGTAACCGCACGTTTATTCGATCCATTAGGATTGCTAGGCCCGATTACCGCATTTTTAAAGCTTCTAGTTCAGGAATGTTGGATGAACAATCTGGACTGGGATGCATCTACCCCATCCTCCATATCTAATAAATGGTTGAAGTTTCAATCTGAACTTCTATTTTTGGAACAGATTGAAATTCCTCGTCATGTAGGTATAACACGCAACTCACATGTAACTCTTATCGGATTCGCAGACGCTAGTGAGTCCTGTTATGGCGCCGTTGTTTATATCAGAGTGAGTAATGATGTCCACTCTGACGGTGTTGTCCATCTCCTTTCTTCTAAGTCTCGCGTTGCTCCATTAAAAAAGATATCTCTCGCACGCCTTGAACTTTGCGCCGCCTTATTACTCGCTAATCTCCTCTCCGCAGTTCATGAGGTACTATCTAAACGCTGTCATATAGACAAGATATTCGCATTTTCAGACGCAACCGTAACACTCACATGGATTCATTCTCCCGCCTATAAATTTCATACATTTGTAGCGAATAGAATAACTGAAATTAATTCAAAAATTGCCGCTTCCCATTGGTTTCACATCGACGGTAAAGAAAATCCCGCAGATATAATATCACGCCCTGTAACGCCGAAGGAATTATTTAATAATAAAATCTGGTTTGGTGCCCTTCCTTGGATTTCTCTGCCACTAAAGGACTGGCCTATAACTCAATTTAAATTAAATTCATGTTCTGACGAAAGTATACCGGAGACTAAAACCACTTCATTAAAAGCAAATATAATTAATAATGAAAATAATAATCCTATGCAAATTATCATTGACCGCTATTCGAGTTATTCGAAACTTTTACGTACAACTGTTTATATATTACGTTTTACGAAACATTTATGCACCCGAGGCACTATAAATAGAACAGATTTAGATACCGCGGAATTATATATTATACGCTTCATTCAAAATAAACATTTTTCTCAAGATATTTTATCTCTTAAGAAACATAATATTTGTAATAACAAACCGCTTAGAAAATTAAATCCCTTCATTGATGACAATAACATACTTAGAGTTGGAGGTAGGCTATCTCAATCACAGCTTAATTGTGATCAAAAATACCCCATTCTCCTCCCTTATAAGGATCGCTTAACTCAACTTATTGTTGATTATTTTCACATCTCTAATTTACACACTGGTCCCGCTTTGTTACTCGCTTTAATTAGACAAAAATTTTGGATATTATCCGCTCGCAATCTAATTCGTCAGAGAGTTCATGCCTGTAATATATGTTTTAAGATAAATCCTAAAAATAATTATCCCCCCATGGGTGATCTTCCCGCTTTTCGCATTTCTGAGGTGAAAGCTTTCGTTCACACAGCAGTGGACTACGCAGGTCCATTTTTTATTACGCATATACGCCGCAGAGGTATTAAAAGTCAAAAGGCATATATCTGTTTGTTCGTTTGTTTAACGACAAAGGCATTACATTTAGAATTGGTCACAGACTTAAGTTCAGATCTATTTTTAGCAGCGTTTAAACGTTTTATATCACGCAGAGGCCCTGTCGCAATGATATATAGTGACGGTGGTACCAATTTCATTGGCGCTAAGCGTAAATTAGATAATATTTACACTCTTTTGCATTCTAAAGCTCATATAAATTACATAGGTGATCAACTTTCACAACAACGTATTCAGTTCAAACATAGTCCGCCATATGGTCCGCATTTTAATGGTTTGTGTGAAATTAATGTCCGTTGTGTAAAAACACATTTGAATAAAGTAATAGGTACACATATACTCACCTACGAGGAGTTCAATACCGTATTAGTGCAGATAGAAGGATTACTAAATAGTAGACCGCTTTGTGTGTTGAGTTCTGATCCGTCTGATTTAGCCGCACTTACTCCTAACCATTTTTTAAACGTCACGCCCTTAAAATTTTTACCCGCCGAGGATTATGTTGAATACGCTGATAATCGCCTTACTCGCTATCAATTACTGAATAAAATAACGCAGTCTTTCTGGCGGAGGTGGAGTCAAGAGTACCTCACTTCCCTTCAGCAAAGACAAAAGTGGAATACACCATCTACACCTGTTCATCGGGGTATGGTTGTCATAATTAAAGATAATAATACGCATCCACTATGCTGGGCTCTGGGTGTTATTGATGAACTTTATCCTGGTAAAGATAATATCGTTCGTACTGTGCGCGTTAAAACTTTGTCAGGAACTTATATTCGACCTGTAGTTAGGATTTGCCCCTTGCCTCTCCAGTAATACAATTAATTTTCTTATACGCATGCATTTTTTTTTTTTTTTTTATCGTTCGCTTATTTTATTTTAATTTTACTTAATTACCGCATTCAATTAACTTACTTTGTTTAGAGGAAAACCTCTAGGCCAGGGAAGTTGTTTACGCCGAAACGTAACATTATTTCATTTTTACCTATACTTTCCTTACGCAGCGATAGTTCGATCAATACTCTATTTCACTCACACGCAGCCGCGCATCTCGTTCATTCATTTTTAACTACCAATATAATAGAAACATAAGCGCGCCTTTTAATTTGCATATCTGTCTCACTCACGCATACTCATCCCATGTATGTCCTTCCTTGTCCTACTTCCTGAAACCATGCAACATGTCAAAGGACAAGAAGAAATAGAAAGACGACTTCCGCCCAGTTAGTTCAAGTTCAAGTTCACCGCCGGCCGCCATCGCTAACGCTGCTCAATTTGCTATCCGCCTGTACAAAACTATTATACAATAAACGCATAAAGTGAAAATAAATCCCTAATGTGATGTGTCTGTTAATCAAGAAGTTTTAAGAAAAACATTATAAAAATATTAGTCTTGGTGAATAGAAAATAGAACCAGCGCCGAGAATCATCGGGAGAAGTCGAAGAAAGAATTCACCGGTGAGCTCCTTTTGTCCTTTCTACCTATTCACTCCAATATGAATATATCAGATTTCTTCAAAGGCCACTAGGATTGCTGTGGGTTGTTTTTATGCCTTCTTGCCAGTATACATTTACTTTTTTCTCTAAATAAACGTAACTTTTTGCATGATCCATAAACGGAACATTTGTTACTGTATTTTACTTAATCGTAGATTGTTATGTGGTGGTCTAGGATGGGAAGCAGAAGCGTAAGCAGACCAACTGCCAGATGGTCGGACGACATCAAGAAAACGACAGGACCGAGCGGGAACAAATGCGCCTAAGACAGAAGACGATGGAAATTATGCAAAAAGCAAGCAACAAATCTTCTTCTTCTTCTCCATCTATTAGTCTACTGCTGGAGTAGACTAATAGATGGAGAAGAAGAAGATGGAAATTATGCAAAAAGCATGCGTCCAGCAGTAGACTATATGGAGAAGAAGAAGAAGATTTGTTATGCAATTTGAATTATTCGAAGAAAGAAAGAAATTTATTCTCTATCATCATAATATGCATATATTAAATTATGTACAATAAACACCACATATGTATGCACTAAGGACGTCAAGGCTTCACTGGCCTCATTCTTCATCTGGCTTCACTACATCCCGAACATTGCTGATCTTGAGTACTTTTGTATCTTGCCTCCATGTACTTTCTACGTTCATACATTTTTTTTTTATTGGATTGTTTGGGCTATTGTCAGATGTGTAGCACCTGTAGCACTGCGACCTACATAGATCTATTGTGCTCGCCCTTTTCAGAGTTCACTACCTAGACCCGTCAGGGACAAGAATTGAAGGATATTCTTAGGAGCGATGGTTTTTATCTCCTCGGGAAAGAGTGTAAACTTTCCAAAGGAGATATTTCGTTTATGCATGAGTGGGCTACAACCACATAGGATGTGAAGCGGCGTTTCCTCTTCAGTTTGGCAGAATCTGCAGATACTTGTCGTGCATAGGCCTAGTTTAGCCATATGCTTGTTTAATTTGCAGTGTCCTGTGAGGGCCCTAGTCATCATGCATATGTTGTTTTTACTCAATAGCAGTAGTCTATTGGAGTATTTGGTCGAGAAGCCCGATATTAGGTCTTTTGAATGTATTAATTCTGGCATTTCTTGCCAGTGATTCAGTGCTTCTCGTTTGGTTATTAATTTGAGATGTCCCAGTTTTAGGCAACGAGGCACACCACAGAAGGGTTCGGGGCCCAGTTGGACGGTTTTTGCCCCTAACTTTGCCAGATGGTCGGCATTCTCATTGCCTTCAATATTTGAATGCCTGGGGACCCATCTCAGTATATATTTATATATATTATTTCTGCTTCCTACTTCATTTAGTAGCAGGATACAGTTTCTAATAAGTTTAAAACGGATTTCGTACGAGTTAAGTGCTAGTAGAGCAGCTTGACTGTCCGAATTGGATTATCTTGGAGCCGCATTCTTGTTCTCATCTTAATGCCTTCTTTTCTATTAGTTACATAAATAATGTTGTTAGTGGGCGGTTCATTAGCACATTTATAGTCGTTCATTACACGATCGGCTCCGGCCGTGTTTTGTGTCTTCATTACGTTTTATCTAACTGTACAATTTTAATTTAAAACTCCCTGTATAATTATGTGATCAAACTGTTAAGGGTTAGTTTTCCATTCAGTTTTATCGAGATATTGATTAAAAAATAACTTACTAACACATTTTTGAGATAACTTTGTTACTTACAAAGCACTAGAAAGTATGCATATTATTAAGTGATAGAAAACAGATCTAAGGAAGGGATATGTATACAATGGAAATTCTGGATACAAGGAGCTTTAGTACTTATGGAATGAAATACAGTCATAATAATCGAATATTAATCTAAGCGTATAAATATCTTCTTTTTGGACTACTCTAATGCTGTTGGCCGCAGCTGGTCTTTACAGCTTCACCGGACGATTGGGCGCCAGTGCAGTAGGTACTCCAAACCAAAGAAGGACTTATGGAGCGCCTGTAGGCCAACTCCCGCCTGACGGATACGACTTTAGTCTGAGGGCACCGCTAGGGGTTCGAATCTCGGCTCAGTCCGTCGTAATATCGATCCCCGTTAGAATTGGACGGGGATCGATCTGATCGGATCGAGAGGCGTATAAATAAAAAAAAAATTACATATCTCATATAAAGTATTATAAAACATATTAATAGCGCGTTTTAGAAATTTGTATGAAAAAATACAGTGTTATTTAGTTGAACTTGTATAAAACAATACTGACTTGAATAGGTTATTCTCCGTTATTCTCTTTGGTTATTGAATTTTAGCATATATAACTTGATTTAATTATAATTGTATAGAATAGAAAATATAATAGAAAATCATTTATTCAAATAAACTTACATTGAAGCACTTTTGAATAGTCATAACATTTTTTTTTTAATCTACCGCTCATTCGGAATGCTGTCTCATCACAGGAAGAACAAGCAAGAAACTTGTGTATTGCTCTTTTAAATAATTTATTCTTATTTACAATTTAAGTTTAAGTGTGTGAATACAAACCACCGATTAGCACTAATTCAATGAAATAATAAAATAGAAAAAACATTCAATATACAACAACTGGTTAAACAATTAATAAGAGAAAATAAGTCATAGTGATTAGAGCAGACCAGTCCACACAAGCAGCAACCGTTCACGAGTATGACGGATGCATTGTTGCACTTTATATTAAATTAAAATAGAAATACCAACATACTTTCTTTAGACATCGTCTCAAATCTAACATAAACCTATCTCAAATAAATTCATTATTATCATATAGGAAGAAAAACCAAAATAAACACTATCTGTATAGAAACTTGGATAAACCTGTCTCACTGATTCCGTATCTTTTTTTTAGACACATCACATTTCTTATCCTTTCTGCAAAAGTCTTTATTTAAACATTAAAATTTCTTTTGAAATCCAAATATCATAAGATATATTAAAATTGTATATTAAAACACATAAAAATTGTAAAATATTGTACGAGTATATAGAAATGCACTGTGCCTTATCTCTAATCACTATTTTTATAATGTTTCACAACAAACTGTAAATTAATATAATAATAATATACTTTATAATTTATTACAAACCAATCTTTGTAAGTTCTTAATACGTAGTTTATATAAGCTTACTTAATCTACTTCGGCGTAGTGTACACAGAAACAAATATTTATGATGTTTAAAAATGATTTATATGTCATACTAGTTGCACCTGCGACTTCGTGTGGAATTTAACTTTATTTTTCTAAAATAAAAGTAGCCTATGTTACTCCTTACTACATCAGCTACCTGCCAAAAAAAAATCCCGTCATAATTGGTCGACTATAGAAATATAGGTGACTTTATGTGCCGCGAAAGTAAGAATTTAACTTTATTTTTCTAAAATAAAAGTAGACTAAGTTACTCCTTTCTACATCAGCTACCTGCTAAAAAAAATCCCGTCAAAATTGGTCGACTATAGAAATATAAGTAACTTTATGTGCCGCAAAAGTGAAAAGGCCATAATACTGCAGATAAATCTGCAGCGCAGAATTATTAAGTAAAATTAACGAATCTTTGGTTAGAATAAATAAAAGTCACATTAAAAAGTTAAATAAATCTGCCTATTCAAAGTGCACCAATTGTTTTCGTTACGCGAAATTTTGCATCCTCCATACAATTCTACATATTATATTAATTCTTTTTATTCCTTGCTACATATAAGCTGCTACGTTCCAGCTTTATATGTATGTAATACCCTAACCGGGCCGTGTCAGAATGGGCATTAATCATGCGAGCTGAGACGCCGCCGGGGGCCGAGGCGTTTTTATTACCATTGTGGAGGACCCATGGGATCAATGGCGTGAGTTACAAGTTATAAAATATATACGAGCAGTAGTTCAATTTACACTTCATAAAACATCGTAGTTTTATAAATATGTTACTAGCTGACGCGCGCAAGTTCTTCTGCATCACATATATCATATTTCGCTCTCATCATCATCATCTGCTTCATCCTTATCCCATTTATTTGGGGTCGGCGTAATATGTTTTTCGTTTCCATTCATCCCTGTTCGCAGTCATCGCGTTATTTACTTCCTTTCTTACCATATCATCTTTCACACAGTCCATCCATCTCTTTTTTGGCCTTTCTCTGCCCTTATAATCATCCACATTCATTTGTAACATCTTTCTTAAAATATTATCCTCGTTCCTACGCATTACATGTCCATACCATGATAGACGATTACTCTTCAACATATTTCGCTCTATGTACCTAATATCTTTTTAAATTATGGCCTATATGTTATTCTAATATATAAAGTATGTCACTGTAATGTTTCATTAAAATCGCTTCAGTAGTTTTTGCGTAAAAGAGTAACAAATATCCATCCATGCTTACAAACTTTCGCAATTAGAATATTAGTATGAAAAGTAACATAAAACTATTGTACATAATAAAATACAAAGAAATGGATGATCCGCATAGCAGGATGGTGTGTGAGATTTTTACCCACTAAAAACCACACGATGTACCTGCAAGCACCTATGCCGAGGTTGGGTTTTTTTTATGGATGATAATGGAATAATCCACCAGGGCACCAGTGAAGGATGATAAGATGAGCATAAGGTCAGGTCAGTTAGGCTATTGTGACAAATTCATCAAGAATTTATGCCAATTATTATTTACCACGTGGTTCCCCTGGAAACCATTGTTTCCAATGGCAATCGCGGCAAGGTCAATCTGACATGGTACATTGCTAGCATGGGGTCAATAGCCCACATTACTAACAATTCCCTTTCCTCCCCAGAGCTGGGGGTTTCGCATGTGCATTCAACCCTGGCTCCGATTTTTTTTTTTCGGACTACTCTAATGCTGTTAGCCGTAGCTGGCCTTTACAGCTTCACCGGACGTTATGGGGCGAGTGCAGATGGCACTCCAAACCCGCGGAAGGACTTATGGAGCGGCTGAAGGCCAACTCCTGCCTGACGGATACGACTTTAGTCTGAGGGCACCACTAGGGGTTCGAACCTCGGCTCAGACCGTCGTAATTTCGATCCCCGTTTGAATTGGACGGGGGATCGATCGGAGGGGAAATGGCGACGGCCCACCCTATAAGTGTTGTAGGCCCTAGCTCGCTGAGGTTAGGGCAATCTATTTTGCCCTACTCCAACGCTCTCATGCGTTTCCATTTAGTAGTATTAGATAAACCTATACGTCTTGGAACTGAAGCAATCAAATTGTTTGTATACATTACAAAGTCAGTAATTCATTCTATGGTAATTGCGTAAGATTTTATAATAAACTGCCAGAATCTGCACTAAATCTGACAGAGAGGCAATACAAATCTTATATTAAACAATTTTTGTGTAA